AAATTTTTCTATTATATGTTCCATATATATTAGGAGACTTTTATTGTTTAATTTATTTTTTGCACATAAACTTGTATCTTGAACTTCTTTTTCCAAAAAGTGAGGATGTCAAAATTTTAATAGATATCGGATGTACGGCAATTTTCTAAAAAGATCTCTTAATCTCTTTCATGAAAATTATTCCAAACGGAAACTTAAAATTGATAAAAAAAATCTTAACTAAATTTAACTAATTTATATTAGAAGTTTTAAGTTTATCCCACTGTAAGTGTGAAATCAGTTTCCATAATACAAAAAACCACCTGACCTATTGTAAAATTTCATGCTTCCATACGCAGTGTCTAAAATCCTTCAAATTTTATTATTAATTTTTCGTTTGTTTAAAAACATTTTATTCTTAGAATCGAAATTTCACCAAGCAAAATGTCCACCAAGCACTATGTTTACTAAAACTTTATTAACCTAAATGTAAAGTTTTTGCGAAGTGTTTATCGAATTTATTGTAAAATTTAAACATTTTTAATATAAGATATTAACTACTTTTAAAAGGTAATAAGGTAAGGTGTTAATACAACTGTTTTATATATAATCCCAAATTTATGATATAAAATCCCCTCTACCAAAAAACTTAAATTGGGTAACACCGCTTCGAATTTTTACAATTGAGCAATTGTCAAAAATCAAAATTATCAAAAAGTTGTTTACCAGGGTGTCTTTGAACTAATGATTGGTACTGAATTAAAGAATGCACACACATAAAAGATTGCAGCCTTTTCAATACTTCTTCAGTGTTAAACCTTGCTATGAATATGTTGATGTGTGAATTCATAACTGCTTTCAGTGAATGGAAAATTAAAAAATTATAAACCTCAATCTTAAGCGAGGAATAAGTAATGAAAACTTAATAGAAAAAAATTGTTGATTTGAAATTGAAAATGATTTCACACTTACACAGCTCTAGTATGCCACTCGCTTCCTGCAAGCTTTTACTAAGGGAGAACTTCCTTGAAGAAGCGGCCTCCAGATGGGAGCGCACTCAAAACTGTAATACAACGAGGCTTACATGGCCAAAATGGGATGTACGGAGATCGAGAGATATTCTCACTCTCAACAAAGGCGATATGTCACTAGCCATTGGTCTGCTCACAGGACATATCCTGATAGGAAGGCAGGCAGAATGCCTCGGGGTTAGTCACAACGACTACTGTAGCAGCTGCCACGACGAAGAAGAGCCTGAATCAATAAGGCACTTACTCTGCGATTTCCCAGCACTAGGCAGTAAAAGACAGAAATTCCTAGGTATAGGTCTTCTAGACGATCTAAGCGCAACTGCCAAGTTTGGAATACGGCAGTTGCTAAGGTTCGCAGACTCCACGAACTGGTTTAAGGAGTAGGGGTTTTGGGTCCATGAGGTATCACAATGGGCCCTGATCGGGCCTAAGTGTGCTGGCGCCCTCTGAGCCTAGCAGCCACTTCAACCTAACCTAACCTAACCTTTCAGTGGACTTTATTTCGACTATGACTACGTGCCAATTACTTTAATCCTACTTTAAGATAGTTCAAAAGGTTAAACAACATCAAGTTAGGGAACTTCATATCCTTATTTAACGAATCTTTAAATCAATAAATATTTTTTTTCTTTTTAGTTCTTATTGTAATAAAAGCGTGTTATTGGTTTTCCTTTTTCAACTATAATTTTATTACTCATTAGGTTTATTTTTTACACACCTTTCCTTTTTCTTGTTTTAATAAAAGGACTAACCTTGGAGCTATCATTGGACGTCTAATATTCTTTCGCAATGGGTGTTGTTGATGTTGCTGTTGTTGAGGGTTCGGTTTCATTACAAAAGAATATTTGACCTCCAATGATAGCTATAAGGTTAGTCCTGTTATTAAAACAAGAAAAAGGAAAGGTGTGTAAGAAAATAAACCTAATGAATAATAAAATTATAGTTAAAAAAAAACCAACAACACGCTTTTATTACAATAAGAACTAAAAAGAAATAAAACGATACGCGTTTTTGTACTTTAAACGACGATATGTACGTACACATATTAAATTATTTGTTCTCAAAATGCATGAAAACTATAGTATGCTTGCAAACAATTAATAACATTTTGTGATAAACAGTTTTACAAATGTATTTGCACATCAAATTTGTGTTTTAATAAAGTGTTAATTAAATAAATTTTTATTGTAAATATATTTATACTTGGCAACTTTTCTTCATTTGTAACAAATGACAGATGTAAAAAAATAAAAAATAATTGTAATTTTACAAATTTAAAACAAGCGGGAGTTCTTTACAAAAAAATGTAGTTAGGGATCAAATTGCGCACATTTTTTTCCAATATCAAGTACCCCCAAGAAGTGTTAAACCACTATATAGCTTAGAAAACGCTTTCAAAAATTCGAAACGAGAGTGAAGTGCAGTGTTCAGTTGTGATCGAAATTGCAGGCAAAATTTGTGCCTTAGCCATTTAATGTGCATTTTTATCNATCGAAATTGCAGGCAAAATTTGTGCTTTAGCCATTTAATGTGCATTTTTATCGTTATATGTTGCAAACAGACATTTTAGGAACTAAATAGATTCTAAAATCTCTGTACACAAGCGCACTTATTTTTAACAGTTTCCAGTTTATGTAATATTAATCAAAACAGCTTTTATTTATTTTATGTATTATGTGATTCCTGAAAGCGTCGAATACAACAAAAAGGGCTGGGACTGGGTTTATGTAATTTGAAATTGTATTGATGATTACTAATAATAATAGAAAGCCGCTTACATATCGATGGTCCTCTGAAATAACGACACAACTCAAAACTTCATATATTTCAGTAGAGCCAATTAAAGATTTTTTGTTTCGTAATTTAGCAATAATANAAGGTAAGGTGTTAATACAACTGTTTTATATATAATCCCAAATTTATGATATAAAATCCCCTCTACCAAAAAACTTAAATTGGGTAACACCGCTTCGAATTTTTACAATTGAGCAATTGTCAAAAATCAAAATTATCAAAAAGTTGTTTACCAGGGTGTCTTTGAACTAATGATTGGTACTGAATTAAAGAATGCACACACATAAAAGATTGCAGCCTTTTCAATACTTCTTCAGTGTTAAACCTTGCTATGAATATGTTGATGTGTGAATTCATAACTGCTTTCAGTGAATGGAAAATTAAAAAATTATAAACCTCAATCTTAAGCGAGGAATAAGTAATGAAAACTTAATAGAAAAAAATTGTTGATTTGAAATTGAAAATGATTTCACACTTACACAGCTCTAGTATGCCACTCGCTTCCTGCAAGCTTTTACTAAGGGAGAACTTCCTTGAAGAAGCGGCCTCCAGATGGGAGCGCACTCAAAACTGTAATACAACGAGGCTTACATGGCCAAAATGGGATGTACGGAGATCGAGAGATATTCTCACTCTCAACAAAGGCGATATGTCACTAGCCATTGGTCTGCTCACAGGACATATCCTGATAGGAAGGCAGGCAGAATGCCTCGGGGTTAGTCACAACGACTACTGTAGCAGCTGCCACGACGAAGAAGAGCCTGAATCAATAAGGCACTTACTCTGCGATTTCCCAGCACTAGGCAGTAAAAGACAGAAATTCCTAGGTATAGGTCTTCTAGACGATCTAAGCGCAACTGCCAAGTTTGGAATACGGCAGTTGCTAAGGTTCGCAGACTCCACGAACTGGTTTAAGGAGTAGGGGTTTTGGGTCCATGAGGTATCACAATGGGCCCTGATCGGGCCTAAGTGTGCTGGCGCCCTCTGAGCCTAGCAGCCACTTCAACCTAACCTAACCTAACCATTCAGTGGACTTTATTTCGACTATGACTACGTGCCAATTACTTTAATCCTACTTTAAGATAGTTCAAAAGGTTAAACAACATCAAGTTAGGGAACTTCATATCCTTATTTAACGAATCTTTAAATCAATAAATATTTTTTTTCTTTTTAGTTCTTATTGTAATAAATGCGTGTTATTGGTTTTCCTTTTTAAACTATAATTTTATTACTCATTAGGTTTATTTTTTACACACCTTTCCTTTTTCTTGTTTTAATAAAAGGACTAACCTTGAAGCTATCATTGGACGTCTAATATTCTTTCGCAATGGGTGTTGTTGATGTTGCTGTTGTTGAGGTTTCGGTTTCATTACAAAAGAATATTTGACCTCCAATGATAGCTATAAGGTTAGTCCTGTTATTAAAACAAGAAAAAGGAAAGGTGTGTAAGAAAATAAACCTAATGAATAATAAAATTATAGTTAAAAAAAAACCAACAACACGCTTTTATTACAATAAGAACTAAAAAGAAATAAATTATTTATTGATTTAAAGATTCGTTAAACAAGGATATGAAGCTCCCTAACCTGATGTTATTTAACCTTTTAAACTATCTTAATTTAGGATTAAAGTAATTGGCACGCAGACATAGTCGAAATAAAGTCCACTGTAAAGTTAGTTGCAGTTATTTTTAAAGGCATCCCATTGGAAACACACGGCACGCCATTGGTGGAGGGCTTCGGGTGTACGAATTTGTTGTAACATCAGGAGTTGAAGACTTGCTCTAGCTGCTAGTCCCATGTGAACTTGCAACAAAGTTCAATTCTGCCATATCCTTGAAGGGATTTTCATGATTTCAGACCTTTAGTAAAGTTAATATCATTTATTCATATTGTTTTTGTTTTTTACACACCTTCCCTGTTTCAAATGTATACAATTTCATAAAATCTCAATGTCTATTTATCATATTGCTCGAGCGTTAGACGATCTAGATCCAAACGCATAAGTAGCCCATTACGCCCAATTGGGTATTTAAAGTTGACATTATTGTTTTTATGTAAAAATAAAAAATTTTAAAAATGTTATAATCAAGCAAAAATCAAAAAGAAAAATATTTACTTAATTTTTTTTGTATTTTATACGTTGAAAATTAATGTTAAAAATGTACAATCAAAGCCCAACATTAGACGGAAGAAATACAGTTTTTATGATTAAGTTTCGTTAAAAAGTTTCCAAGATACAGCACTTTAAAGAAAGGTATGTATGACGTTTTCTTAAAATTTAAGTCCCGTGTAAATAGGCAACCCTTCGCCATATCGGCAAAATATGTTGCACGTATATTCATGTCAACTAGACCTTCAATCTCTTCAAATTTCATCCAAATCCTGAGAGGTCGCGCACAGAGGTGGCCGCGCACAGAGGTGGCCGCGGTGACATGAATGAAATGCCTCATATGCTTATTTGAAAACTAATACATGAAATAATGTGCATGTATATGTTTTTTGTCATTAACCCATAGGCAACGACTGGTGCAAAAGTTCCCAAAAATATTTGTTGATATATTTGAAATGTAAATTTGAACAGCAAAATTCGTAAAAAAATAATACAACAAAAATATTGTTAATTACTACATGGGAGGTGGGCGTGGTTATTTACAGATTTAGCCAAAATTTAATACTAACCTAAATTATACCAAAGGCACCGACTTTCGTTAAAATATCTAAATTTTTTTCCGAGTTACAAACAGACACGGCTGAAGCAATTTATCTCGTCATTCTAAATATTTTTCTAATTTGTTTTTCGACATCGTTCCTAGCAGATTCGGATTCTTCATAAAATTCTAATAAAAAAAGCCCTTTAGACCATAGCCCTAAAATCAATTTCGAGCCCGCGCAATTTTAAAAGAAAATATCTTTAATTAATACCAAGTCCATAATCAGATTAATATTTACTAAAGTGTTAGGAACTTTTTTTTTGTAATAACGAGTTGTGCTCCGGAATTTTGTGATATGGAAAATTGATTTCTGATATCTATTTTTTATTTAAAGAACCGCAATATGGCGCTTCAAATCAAATCTACTATATATTTGTGGAAAAATGTATATATGTATGTGCCAGGTTGCAGCCTAAACGGAAGGACAGAATTGAATAAAATTTTGGCAAAGTATTGCCATGACTCCTGGACCTATAATAGGGTAAAAAAATTGGGACTCGCCAAGGGGGGAGAGGGATGGGGGATACCTCCCATAGTGAAAATTTTTAATCAACTCTAACTTCGGAATTATAGTCACGTGAACTCGAAATTTGAAATGCACAGATACCTATGGTAGGTGCTTATGGAAAAATATATGTATATAAATGAGTTTGTAAAAAGGGGCTTGGCACATCGGTATGGAATCTTTTATCAGCTATAACAGCAGGCAGTATTAGTTATCTCAATGTATTGCATTTTGAAGATTTGTTATAATTCATCAAAGTGAAATTCAGATAAATTATAGATGATATGAAGTTCACCGGGTCATCTTCAAGTCTTTAATATAAACTAAGTTAATATATGGATTAATATTTACTAAAGAGTTACGAACGTTATTTTTTAATACAATAAGAAAAAAATAACTATAATTTAAAGGAGTGACACACAATGGCTAGAGACGTCGAATGTGTGTATTCTTTCATATACATATATATGGGCCGTTCTTATCGTTATATATTTTTCATCCACTCGCTTATTCCTGACCGAAAATTTTAAATAAAAATTTAACAAGTTTTAACTGCTGATACAGTACAGGCAGCAGTTTAAAATGGGGAACTGGGTAAACTTAATAAAGAAAATATTTTCTCTGGTTAAATTAATAAGCCTGCCCGGATAACACAAAATCCTAAGCTTGATAAACATTTGGTGTTATGCAAGTTTTATAAAGCTCTACTTTTATTTAGGAAAAATGCCGAAAAAAAATTATAAAATTTATTGATTGATTGATAAAAATAGAGAGGGAGTTATGGCTATGAAAATAGAAAGAAGTAAAAAGATACCTCGTGTTGAAAGCCAAAAGGATCTAAAACCAAAAAAAAAATATAAATACATTGTTAATCATAACAAAATTAATGATTCGAAAAATAATTTTGAAATATTGTAATTTTTTTTTTGGTTTTTTAAAGTTAAAGTTTCATTTACTTACAGTAACGAACAAAAGTATTGGCACAGTGAATTTTACGCAATATAGGCAAAGTATTTTTTAGAAGAATTCCAACAATGCAGTCCAATGCATTCAGTTTTAGTTTATCAAAGTTCAAGTTTGAAGTTGCTTGAAAATCTGAATATAAAATTGCAAATTAGTATGCAGATTTATTGGATTTTCCTGAGTTTTGCACAAAGTTTACACATTTGATATTTATGTGTTTTGGCATAGTATGAACTATGTTTTTATAAAAAATCATCGGAAATAAATTAAAAACTTTGCATATATGTAATGCGAAAAGTTACTGTGCCAAAACTTTTGTTCGACACTGTATATATAAAAAAGTACATACAGTAACTTCTCCCGTTACAACAGTAAAAAATATGTAATTTGCTTTGTAGTGCAATCTTGCGGTTCTTTAAATAAAAAATAGATATCAGAAATTAATTTTTCGTATCAATAAACTCCCAAGCACAGGTTTGTATTAAAAAAAATATAGCCGTAACACTTTATTAAATATTAATCCACATATTTTATTAATTCGTCGGAATATTTTTTTTATGTATGTTACCGGATAACTTTGGACTGCGTTATCCGTTTTCTACAATTCTTTTTTAAAGGAAAGGTGGTTTCTCAGAGGGAGTCTCCTGCTAACTGAATGTAGATCCGATAATTGGGCCATAAAGAAAATAACGGTACTCGTACTCTTAAATTTGTATATGAGAATTGAAGTCGGTTTTGCTTTTAACCGACTTCCAAAAAAGGAGGAGGTTATCAGTTCGTCGGAATATTTTTTTTTTTGTATGTAGTTACCGCATAACTTTGGACCACGTCAACCGATTTCGATAATTCTTTTTGCATCGGAAAGGTAGTGTCTCAGAGGTAGTCCCATACTAATCTGGTTAAGGTCCGATCAGTGGATCATGAGATATACATATACATATATATTTTTTATATGAGAGTTGAAGTCGGTTTTTTTTTGCCAAAAATTATTTGTTTGTTTAAAATTTACTCCAGTGTCCACAGCTTCTATAAAAGAGTCGTAGGCCATATTTTTTTGTTAGTTCAATTGTGGAACATTTGTATGAACTGCTTCGGCTAATACTTCGGCTTTTGTTCTCTTTTTATATCGAGGCTAAATGCATTGTTCGATGGGGTGATATCATTGCCAAACATGATAGTACTTTGTTTGCCATCAATTAACACTAACTTGACGGAGTTCCAGTATTCTACATTGATTCGAGCCTCAAAAGCTTTGAATAATAATTGCGAGTATGGCTTTTAGTTTTTACCGAGCAGGTAGGTGACAGGTCCATAGAAAATATTTCTTAATCAATAATTTTTCAAATACTTTTCGTTTGACACCTATATTATTATACATACTTTATCTTAGTAACTTTATTGAATTAAATTTTCGAAATTGGTGGCAACTCGACTCAAAAATATTTTCAGTAGTAAGCCTTCTTAAACCTTTTTAATTTGATACCCATATTGCAATATTTAATTTATCTTACCAATTTAATTTAATTAAATTTTGAAACAGGTGGCAACCCCCCTCAAAAATATTTTCGGCTGTAAGCCTTCATAACCTCTTTCTTTTGACACCCATATTGCAATATCTTATTTATGTCATTAATTTACTTATACTGAAATTTTTAAACAGGTGGCAACTCTCTATTTTTTTCTCGTTTTAACCATCAGGATATTATAAAAAACAAACCAAAAAAATAAAAATATTCAAATCGGTCAAGCCGTTTTCGAGTCTTAGCGAGGCTAACGGACAGCAATTCATTTTTGTATATAAGATATCTTCTTTTAAAAATGTGCAGGCTCGAAATTGACTTTAGAGCTATGGTCTGGAGGAATTTTTTTCTTACAATTTTCTGAAGAGTCCGAATATGCTAGGAACAATGTCGAAAAAAATCAATCCATACAAATTGACCCGTCCTAGTATGCATATGTGTATATATGTACATTCATTTTATACGGTTGACAAACGGGCTCGTTTATCTGCATAAACCGTCTTTATTTGCATTAACTTATGCACTATACTCTTTCAAATATGAATAAGCGGCTGAACAAATATATCAAAATTTCGTGCATTTGCTCGAACGTGGAGATATAATTTTGTGTACATATTTCATAAAAGCCGTGGAGGTCTCCACTATAAGAGTGGTATATTTGAAAATCAAAGAGAGACCTTTAAGCTAAATAATACTCGTTTTACCAACTAATCGATGGAACTATTTTCCAAAGTCAGCCCACTGTTATTCACTCAAAGTTGTGTTCGGAACACGGTATGACTTATGTAGGTCATAATCGCTTACGTTTCACGCCTGATTTGCTGGGAATTTTGTTTTTCTCGTTGTTTTATTTTATATGACTTGAAAATATTTTTCACAATAAGAAAATATTTAAATTTGATTTCATTTGGGTTAACGAAAACGACAACTATGAAAACATATCAACCAATTCATTCAAACAAATTGTCAAATAAGCATATTTACATTTTTTGTTTTGTCTATCTGGATTACTGTATACTGTGATTTTGTGTTGATGTCACCGCTACACTGATGTACACTGCTTGGAAGTACTGCACAGTAGTGAAGTGTCCCTTTTAGAAGGTTTTGCGTAGTTCTTTAGTAATGTATTTAAAACGTAAAATAGCAGCACTCAAAGGAAAATATAACAAATTAATTACCAGTTGCATTTTTGTATAGCTTATGTTTTATTATCGTTATTATTTATTCTAACAATTGTTTTAATTTTCATTTAAGGAGTGCCGTACGGTTTTAATTTACATTTAATTGCCACTTTAATTTTACGAATAGCACAAGACATACACGCGTTTATTTTTTATTAGGGCAATTCATCTGAACGCGTGAATGCCTCGTAACCAGGTACACCTCGTACACTTACTTAATTTTGTATGGAAAGCCGGTTTATTGACGAGATTTACAAAGTTACGAGGCAATTACACGTTTAGATGAATACCCTGATTGTAAATTTGTTTAATTTTGTATCTACATACATACATACATATATATGGATAACATATCGCTCATTTACTTCAATAGTGTTAACACAAAAAAGGGAAACTCGAGAAAAAAGATTTTAAAGTTTTGAATTTACATATATTCCCACAGTAAGAGTTAATATAATTTTATGGTAGTGATATACTGGTAATCGATACAGCTATGAAATTTTTGCACAACATAGAAGTAGAAGTAGCAGGAATACATATTTAGCTCAATATTTGTATTTTTTGGATTAAGAAATTATTGAAGTAAATGAGCGATAAGGGTTTTAATAAAAATTCCAACAGGAATGCACACTGCTTTAAAATTTGCTCGCTTCTAAATGTACTGACGGTTTGGTGTGCGTATCACAAATGTATTTGTTTTATAGCTATTTTATATAAAATAAAATACGGGGAAAAGTTGCAACATGGTTGACCCACGTCTCTTATACCATGTCCCCACCAAAAAGTTAACCATCTCGAATCGAACTTAACCA